TCAGTTCTTGTTGACCATTAAAAACACCCTTTTGTAGCTTTGGTCAATACTCTAAAAATCAAAGAAATTCATCTATGTGAATAATAACACGTGCACCTCCCTTACCTGAGACATCCATCTGTCGTCTCCTTGAATGTCTTCTGCTGCATGTGGAATGGCTGCTGGGTTTGAGTCTCCTTGGCTCATTCTACACCTAAGGGAAAAAAGGTCTATGTCATGTTTTGTTCACTGACAGGAAAGTCTGTTACTGCTTATTTAAATATTACATGTCAGGTTTTAAATAAGGATTAAATAAATTTCATTGTGGTTTTGCCTAGAAATGATGCAACTGGAGTTTATTTCCAGAAGATTGAGTTCCAGGACATGACTGCACAAGTTCCATAGATATTCCAGCACCACTAGACTTCCAGAAAGGTCTGAATACCATTCAGGAACAGTGCATTACATTTTAAAAGTCTGCTCCAAGTATATACCTTATACTTACATTCACTTTTCATGAATACGTGTTATTTAACAACCAAATGACAAGGAGTTAAGCTCTTATGGTTCAAAGATATCTTAGATAAATATATTAGATACCTATATCATTATAGACATATAATAACATATCTATATCAGTTCAGACATTCAGTCGTGTCCAACTCTTTTGAGACCCCATGAACCGCAGCACGCCAGGCCTCCCTGTCTATCACCAACTCCCAGAGTTCACCCAAACCCATGTCCATTGAGTCAGTGATGCCAGCCAACCATCTCAACCTCTGTCGTCCCCTTCTCCTCCTGCCCCCAATCCCTCCCAGCATCACGGTCTTTTCCAATGAGTCAGCTCTTCGCATCAGGTGACCAAAGCATTGGAGTTTCAGTTTCAGCTTCACCATCAGTCCTTCCAACAAACACCCACAACTGATCTCCTTCAGGATGGACTGATTTGATCTCCTTGCGGTACAAGGGACTCTCGAGTCTTCTCCAACATCATAGTTCAAAAGCATCAATTCTTCGGCGCTAAGCTTTCTTTATCAACTCTCACATGCATACATGACCACTGGAAAAACCATAGCCTTGACCAGACGGACCTTTGTTGGCAAAGTAATGTCTCTGCTTTTTAATATGCTGTTTAGGTTGGTCATAACTTTCCTTCCAAGGAGTAAGCGGCTACAATCACCATCTGCAGTCATTTTGGAGCCCAGAAAAACAAAGACAGCCACTGTTTCTCCACCTATCTGCCATGAAGTGATGGGACCAGATGCCATGATCTTAGCTTTCTGAATGTTGAGCTTTAATCCAACTTTCTCACTCTCCTCTTTCACTTTCATCAGGAGGCCCTGTAGTTCTTTTTCACTTCCTGCCATAAAGGTGGTGTCATCTGCATATCTGAGGTTATTCATATTTCTCCCAGCAATCTTGATTCCAGCTTGTGCTTCCTCCAGCCCCGCGTTTCTCATGATGTACTCTGCATATAAGTTAAATAAGCAGGGTGACAATATACAGCCTTGATGTACTCTTTTTCCTATTTGGAACCAGTCTGTTTTTCCATGTCCAGTTCTAACTGTTGCTTCCTGACCTGCATACACGTTTCTCAAGAGGAAGGTCAGGTGGTCTGGTATTCCCATCTCTTTCAGAATTTTCCACAGTTCATTGTGATCCACACAAAGGCTTTTGGCATAGTCAAAAAAGCAGAAATAGATGTTTTTCTGGAACTCTCTTGCTTTTATGATGATCCAGCAGATGTTGGCAATTTGATCTCTGGTTCCCCTGCCTTTTCTAAAACCAGCTTGAACATCTGGAAATTCATGGTTCACTTATTGTTGAAGGCTGGCTTGGAGAATTTTGAGCATTACTTCACTAGCGTGTGAGATGAGTGCAATTGTGCGACAGTATGAGCATTCTTTGGCATTGCCTTTCTTTGGGACTGGAATGAAAACTGACCTTTTCCAGTCCGGTGGCCACTGTTGAGTTTTCCATATTTGCTGGCATCTTGAGTGTAGCACTTTCATAGCATCATCTTTTAGGATTTGAAATAGCTCCACTGGAATTCTATCACCTCCACCAGCTTTGTTCGTAGTGATGCATCCTAAGGTCCACTTGACTTTGCATTCCAGGATGTCTGGCTCTAGGTGAGTGATCACACCATCGTGATTATCTGGGTCATGAAGATCTTTTTTGTACAGTTCTTCTGTGTATTCTTGCCACCTCTTCTTAATATCTTCTGCTTCTGTTAGGTCCATACCATTTCTGTCCTTTATTGAGCCCATCTTTGCATGAAATGTTCCCTTGGTATCTCTAATTTTCTTGAAGAGATCTCTAGTCTTTCCCATTCTGTTGTTTTCCTCTATTTCTTTGCATTGATCACTGAGGAAGGCTTTCTTATCTCTCCTTGCTATTCTTTGGAACTCTGCATTCAAATGGGAATATCTTTCCTTTTCTCCTTTGCTTTTCGCTTCTCTTCTTTTCACAGCTATTTGTAAGGCCTCCTCAGACAACCATTTTGCCTTTTTGCATTTCTTTTCCATGGGGATGGTCTTGATCCCTGTCTCCTGTACAATGTCACGAACCTCCGTCCATAGTTCATCAGGCACTCTGTCTATCAGATCTAGTCCCTTAAATCTATTTCTCACTTCCACTGTATAATCATAAGGGATTTGATTTAGGTCATACCTGAATGGTCTAGTGGTTTTCCCTACTTTCTTCAATTTAAGTCTGAATTTGGCAATAAGGAGTTCATGATCTGAGCCACAGTCAGCTCCCGGTCTTGTTTTTGCTGACTGTATAGAGCTTCTCCATCTTTGGCTGCAAAGAATATAATCAATCTGATTTCGGTGTTGACCATCTGGTGATGTCCATGTGTAGAGTCTTCTCTTGTGTTGTTGGAAGAGGGTGTTTGCTATGACCAGTGAGTTCTCCTGGCAAAACTCTATTAGCCTTTGCCCTGCTTCATTCTGTACTCCAAGGCCAAATTTGCCCGTTACTCCAGGTGTTTCTTGACTTCCTACTTTTGCATTCCAGTCCCCTATAATGAAAAGGACATCTTTTTCGGGTGTTAGTTCTAGAAGGTCTTGTAGGTCTTCATAAAACCATTCAACTTCAGCTTCTTCAGCGCTACTGGTTGGGGCATAGGCTTGGATTACCGTGATATTGAATGGTTTGCCGTGGAAACAAACAGAGATCATTCTGTCATTTTTGAGATTGCATCCAAGTACTGCATTTCGGACTCTTTTGTTGACTATGATGGCTACTCCATTTCTTCTAAGGGATTCCTGCCCACAATAGCAGATATAATGGTCATCTGAGTTAAATTCACCCACTCCAGTCCATCTTGGCTCAATGATTCCTAGAATGTTGATGTTCATTCTTGGCATCTCCTTCCTGTTTGACCACTTCTAATTTGCCTTGATTCATGGACCTAACATTCCAGATTCCTATGCAATATTGCTCTTTACTGCATCGAACCTTGCTTCTATTACCAGTCCCATGCACAATTGGGTGTTGCTTTTGCTTTGGCTCCATCTCTTCATTCTTTTTGGAGTTATTTCTCCACTGATGTCCAGTAGCACATTGGGTACCTATCAACCTGTGGAGTTCATCTGTCAGTGTCCTATCTTTTCGCCTTTTCATACTGTTCATGGAGTTCTCAAGGCAAGAATACTGAAGTGGTTTGCCATTCCCTTCTCCAGTGGACCACATATCTATATATTAATATATATATTAGATATCTGCTAGGCATCTATATTAGAGAACTAGAGTCATACACTTAAAAATTACTACAGCAATGATTAGACTCCATTGATTACTAAACAGATTATAATATACTATACTATCTAACCTATAATACAGTATATACCTGTACTACAGATTATAATAAAATTAGTTGTGGGCTTTGGCACTGATTTTTGACAAATGTTTACTGCTGCTAAGTTACCTCAGTCGTGTCTGACTCTGTGCGACCCCAGACGGCAGCCCACCAGGCACCCCATCCCTGGGATTCTCCAGGCAAGAACACTGGAGTGGGTTGCTACTTCCTTCTCCAATGCATGAAAGTGAAAAATGAAAGTGAAGTCGCTCAGTCGTGTCCGACTCTTAGCGACCCCATGGACTGCAGCCTACCAGGCTCCTCCATCCATGGGATTTTCCAGGCAAGAATACTGGAGTGGGGTGCCATTGCCTTCTCCGAAAACGTTTACTAGGTACTTTTATTTTTGACAGGTATCCACTGATAAAATATGATTAACGATGAGCCTAAATATGGCATCTGATAGTAGAGGAGACCCTGGAGGAGGGCGTGGCAACCCACTCTAGTATTCTTGCCTGGACAACCCCATGGACCCAGGATACTGGCGGGTTACAGTCCACAAGGTCGCAAAGTCAGACATGACTGAAGTGACTTAGCATCTCACAGCACAGTGCAGAAGGATGAATAATTTAAATTCAGAAAAATTAGAAATGCTACTCTTTAAGAAAGACAAATAAGAAACCAGATTGTCTTCAACCAACTCTGGAGAATATATAATACATACTAGAGATATTAGGCTTAAGAGGTCTCTGGGCAAATGCAAAGGATGATGAAAGAAAAAAGGCTGGGTTTTGCAGCTTAAAGAAAAAGAGGCCATACTCTCTATTTCCTTCCTTTGCATCCTCAAATAAAACTAAACTGTCTCAGAAAGAGGACTGAGTTATAGCTTTTCAGTAAGTATTCACTGAGTAAATAAAATACCCTGGATTGCCAAGGTAGCAGCTTTTGAGGATCAGAAAGTAACAAGCCCTAAACATGAAAGCAAACTTTCATTCATAAAAAAAAAAAAATTACAGAAGCAAACAATTTTAACACTAATTATGCAACCAAACTCCCTCAGCTCGAAACAACCCTAGGTCTAAAAACAACTGGGCTCAGGGTTTAGCCCATATCTGACTAAAGATGTAAAATATCATTCACAACCTGTATTTCTTCAGATTACTCAACTATGCAACTATTGAAAACAATAGAAAGACTAGCATCAATGCTACGCCTTCTACATATGGCCTCCAATCCTCATAAAAGTACTGCAAGATGAAGAAAATGAGGATCAGATAATTTAGGTAATTTGTGCAGTAAGTAACGGAAAAGAGGTTTGCCTGACCCCAATTACACCACATTTGGCCCACTGATCAAAAACCAGTTCATGCTGACTCCCTAAAGGGGACCTATATCATTTCAAGAATAAGGAAGAACTACAAGAAGAAACTGTATAGATCTAATCAGACTATGATATTTGTTTGGGGGTTTCACTGTCTAAGAAAAGTATAGAAAAATTAAAAATACATTAAAAAAAAGATTACACGGTTAAAACAGCTATATAAAAATGTTTATTTTTGAGGTTCTCCTTTTGTTTTTAACCAATAAAACATTTTATTTTATTTTTTTTTTCAGAGGTCATTCTTATTTTTATTATATTCATAAGACGTCTCTCCATAATGAATTCTTTCATGCTTGTCATCATGGAACCATTTTCTACTTTTGTTAAACTCAAACTTCTTTCTTGAATAGTTTCTGCTGCTGTTAATTAATTCTGGGACACTCTGCCTTGAGTACTCTTCCTCTAATATCCATGGCTCCTCTCCTTGCTCCAATTTGAGGATCACTTCTGGCTTAGGGATACAGTACCCCACTGAGATGAGGTGGCTGTAGTTCTCCAGCATCACGTCCCTGTACAGCATCCTCTGAGCTGGGTCCAGGTGTTGCCACTCCTCCTGAGTGAAGCCCACAGTCACATCCCTGAATGACAATGATCCCTGCGATGTGATCATTTTCTGTTGCTTATAAAACATTTTAAATCTTCCATATTCGTTTCTTGTGGGGGGGTGTCTACATTCTTGATTTAAGTCTGGCTATTCAAGTGAAATCTGATATGGCACTTAATAATTGTTTTAATTTTAAAAATAACTTTTCTTTCCTGCTAGTCAAAAAGCACTACTGCTCTTGAGACTGACAAGGAGCAATCTCATTTTCTGGATTTCAAAATTGGATACAGAGGACTTCCCTAGTGGTGCAGTGGGTAAGAATCTGCCTGCTAAAAAAAAAAAAAAAGAAAAGAATCTGCCTGCTAATGCAGGGGACATAGGTTCAATCCCTGGTTCACAAAGATTCCAAATGCTTCGGAGCAACTAAGTCCATGCACCACAACTGCTGGAGTCTGAGCACTCTAGGGCCCATGAGCCACAGCTACTGAGCCTCCGTGTTACAACCACTGAAGCCTGTGTGTTTAGAGCCTGTGCTCCACAACAGAGCCCATGCACTGCAACAGAGTAGCCCCACAGCTAGAGAAAGCCTGCACGCAGCAATGAAGGCCAAGTGCAACCAAAATTAAATAAATTTTAAAAAAATTAGATATACAATATAAAGAAATATAGCAACAGAACAGCTCCATTTTCCACTAATTGAAATAATCTACTGCCTAACTTTTAATATAGATTAAAACACCCCACTATTTCTCATTATTTCCCCACCTGGAGCATGTTAGGTATTTCTGAGGCAAAACTTAACGGACACAGGGTTAACTGAAAGATCACTACTAAAATGGAGAAAAATAATTTGTTCTACTTGAATGGGAAAGACTAGAGATCTCTTCAAGAAAACTGGAGATACCAGGGGAACACTTCGTGCAAAGATAGGCACAATAAAGGAGAGAAACAGCAAGGACCTAACACAAGCAGAAGATATTAAGACGTGGCAAGAATACACAGAACTATACAAAAAAAGTCTTAATGACTCGGATAATCACAAAGGTTTGGCCACTAACCTAGAGCCAAATATCCTGGAATGTGAAGTCAAGTGGGCCTTAGGAAGCATTACTACGAACAAAGGTAGTGGAGGTGATGGAATTCCAGTTGAGCTATTTCAAATCTAAAAGATGATGCTGTGAAAGAGCGGCACTCAATATGCCAGCAAATTTGGAAAACAGCAGTGGCCACAGGACTGGAAAAGCTCAGTTTTCATTCCAATCCCAAAGAAAGGAAATGCCAAAGAATGTTCAATCTACCATACAATTGTGCTCATTTCACATGCTAGCAAGGTAATGCTCAAAACCCTTCAAGTTAGGCTTCAACAGTACGTAACTGAGCAAACTTCCAGATGTACAAGCTCGATTTAGAAAAGGCAGAGGAACCAGAGATCAAATTGCCAACATTCGTTTGGATAGTAGAAAAAGCAAGAGAATTCCAGAAAAACATCTACTTCTGCTTCAATGACTATGCTAAAGCCTTTAACTGTGTGGATCACAACAAACTGTGGAAAAATCTAAAGAGACACAAATACCAGATCACCTTACCTGTCTGCTGATAAATCTATATGCAGGTCAAGAAACAATAGTTAGGACAGCAAGTGAAACAATGGACTGATTCAAAATTGGTAAAGGAGTACATCAAGGCTATATATTATCATCCTGCTTATTTAACTTATACGCCACGTACATCAAGCAAAATGTCGGGCTGGATGAATCACAAGCTGGAATCAAGGTTGCCCGGACAAATATCAATAACCTCAGATATGGAGATGATACCACCCTTATGGCAGAAAGTGAAGAAGAAAGAACCAAAGAGCCTCTGGATGAAAGTGAAAGAGGAGAGTGAAAAAGCTGGCTTGAACCTCAACATTCAAAAAAACTAAGATCATGGCATCCAGTCCCATCACTTCATGTCAAATAGATGGGGAAAAAATGGAAACAGTGATGACAGACTTTACTTTCTTGGGTGCCAAAATCACTGTGGACAGTGACTGCAGCCAGGAAATTAAAAGATACTTGCTTCTTGAAAGAAAAGCTATGACAAACCTAGAAAGCGTGTTAAAAAGCAGAGGCAACAAAAAACAAACAAACAAACGCAGAGGCATCACTTTGCCAACAAAGGTCCGTTAGTCAAAGCTATGGTTTTTCTATTGGAAAAACATACATCTCACATGTATGGATGTAAGAGTTGGACCATAAAGAAGGTTGAGCGGAACTGATGCTTCTGAATTGTGGTGCTGTAGAAGACTTGAGAGTCTTTCGGATTGTGAGGAGGTCAAACCAGTCAATCCTAAAGTAAATTAACCCTGAATATTTGTTGGAGGGACTGACGCTGAAGCTCCAATACTTTGGTCACCTTTTGTGACTAGCTGATTCACTGGAAAAGACCCTGATGCTGGGAAAGACTTGAGGACAAGAGGAGAAAGGGGTGGCAGAGGCTGAGATGGCTAGACAGTATCACAGCTTCAACGGACGTGAGTTTGAGCCAACTCTGGGAGATAATAAAGGACAGGGAATCTTGGAGTGCTGCAGGTTCATGGGGAATGCAGTCAGACACAATTTAGCAACTGAACAAGAGCAAACACTCTATGATTACATAATTGAAACCATTTTCCGAGGGATCGTTAAAAAAACAAGGATGACAAACTGTGCATACGAGGTGCCTCCCTAATAAAACATATCTAAATACATCCTTCATCACTTAAAAACACAATGCAGGCACTTCAACTACATTTCAGTTCTTGGGATACCATGTTCAGATCTTGTTAAGAACTTTAATTAAAAGAATTTTTTTTTGACAAACCAGGTGTCTCAAGGAAAGGAGCCAAGGACAAATTAAAAAACCTATCATATCAGAAATAGTTGAAAGAAATAGGTATGTTTATAATCTGTAGAACAACTGGTTGGGGAAGAGATCACAAAACAAATGGTTGTCAAAATACTTGAAGATTACTAGGAAGGGACTTAAGGCTTACTCTACAGTATCTCCAAATAGGAAGACAAGGCCAGTGGATATCGTGTACACACAAATTTCTAACACACAGAACTGCAAATGACATCATCTGTCTCTCAAAACAGATTCCTCCAAAGGCAACTCAGAGATGAGGTGAACATCTATTAGAAAAGCATAAAGCATATGAGTAAAGACTGGCCCAGATTAGTGGGGTTCCAACCTTTTTTTTAAGGTTTTAGAATCTTTTTGAAATGCTCCTTAATATATGGATATTTATAAATCAGTTGTGAATTGCTGTTAACCTGTATATTAAATATTAGTAAAGGTAATAAAAACTTCATTCCTAAAAAATGCATGTAGAAAGAGGTTCTAAATTTTTTCCTGTATTCTAATGGTCACCTTATGCAACCCAGGGCAGTGCATGGAAGTATTTTGAAAGCTGTAATTAGTAACAATAGAAAAAAACACCACCAGAGAGGGATCTGACTCCCATCTCACCACACTGATTGGTAATTAATTGCCCTCATGGAGCAAGTCATTAGCTTCTGTGATCACAAACAGCAGGTTCAGTTACAAAAACCCAGCAGAATGGAGATAAAGGTCCGAGGAAATTAACTTATCAGTAGACTATTCCAGGCAAACTTTAACTGTCCATTAAAATGAGTTCTCTGGAAAAAAAAAAAAAAAGAGTTCTCTGGGAAGATGAGGAGTGACTTGCACAGCATTTCCCAATTTTCCTACATTTTCTGTCCTCTCTACTTGACACAGACTATGAAAATATAGTACCAGAATTTCCAAATGCTTGTACCAGAGTAGTGTAGTATGTCTAGCTAGTATGCCTAGCTCCAACAACAAAGAATTATAAACCCTCAAGCTAAGCTGGATGCTTCATGAGTCAGGAAACAGATGGAGAGGGAAAGTCGCACTAAAAATTAAAAAGATTTAGAATGTTTCCACTCGGATCTAAGACTCCTCATTTTCAGAGAGAGCTGGCAGGCTTACTCTAAAGGAGAAGAGAGGCCTCATCCCGAGTACCCTGCCTCAGTGGAGGGGTGGATGGGTCCCCGGGTTCCAGCAATCCATAATTCATTATCAAATGCCCAAGCCAGCACATTAAAGCAAGATGATTTCATACTCCTCCCCTGCTCCCCCACAAGGAGGCAACCTTTATATCAGAACAATGTGCCCAGGAGAAGAATCTGAAGACACAAGGCATATCCCAGGCAAGGCATATTGGAACGCTTAGGGGCACAATACCCTGTTCTCTCCACACGTCTACTAGTCCCCCCACCTCGCTCCCCCCATTACACCCCCCAATTAAGGCTGAACCATGAGATCTCATGGTGGGTCCAGGCGGTCTTCCCTTTCTCCGTGGGTAAGCTCTAAAGAGGCCGAAGCTCTATGTGTTTGGTTTCCTCAATGTCTGTATACACATTATGAAAAGCAACGCTGGCTTGGGAGTCATGGAAAGCAAAATAGTGAGTCACTCACTGTGCAACGGGTACATCATAAACCTGAAGGCCAGAAGATCCTGATCTGGTACATGGACCCAGACCAGGTAAAAAGCATCTAAGAAAACCTGTCCACCGCTAGGTTTACCTAAGTTGGTTGACCTTGGACAAATCACCAGCCTCGCTGGGCCTCATCTTTAAAATGAGGTGATGATGGACTGGACAGCCCTCTAAGAAATAAGCTCTTCTGAGTCGCGGCAGTCTATTTTTGAATTTATTAAAGCAAGCAACGAGGAAGTTTCTGCACAGTTGAAATTTTTCATAAAAAGGTCTGGGGGGAAAAAGTGCTCCGCCTAAAAGCAAGAGCAACTGGTCTGGGTCCGCACCAATGGCCTCTCAGACAGAGGAAAGGGGAGAAAAGGGTCGGAGACTCAAGCTCGGGGACGGAGGGAAAGGTAGCGGCCGAGACCCCGGGGCAAAAGTGTGGCTGGAAACGGGGCTGGCGGCAGCGAGCCCGGGGAGCGGCGGAGAACGCAGGGCGGCCTCCTCCGGGGGGCTGGTCAGGGCCGGGCCCGGCGGCGCGCCCCGCCAGGGGCCTCGCACAATAACAAACCGCAGCCCTTTCCGACCCCCGCCTCTCAGCGGCCCGTTTCCCGCGCCTCGAGATGCACTCACTCAGGCACAGGGTCCGTGCGGGCCCCCAGCGGCTGCGGCGTTGGCGGGTGGCGCGTCTGTCGCTCGCTCAGTCCCGGCGGCCCCGCT